TGCTGGAGGGCCGCCAGTCAAGGCTCCCTGACCTCCTGGCAGAATAAAGGGAGTCAGGATGAGGGAGAGGCGCTCTCACCCTGCCTGGACGGCTGGATGCCCTGCTAGGGCATTTGGGTGAGCCTAGCGCCCTCTTGTGGTCTCCCTTGTCCCTGCATGGGCCCTCCCAGAGTCCGGGAGGCTGGAGCCACCTCCACACCTAGACCATCTCTGTCCCCAGCTTGGACCCCACTCCCTGTCCCCAGCCTTTTCTGCCCCCTTCCAAGGTCTGGAAAAACAAAGTCATACCTTCCTCACCTGTCCTTGTGTAAGCCTTGGAACACAGGACTTGGGCACCAGCAAGCCCCTGTAATGCTATTGGGGGCACAGTCAGTGGTGAAGCATGGAGGTTTACCATGTGGTTCAAACCCTGAGTTTGTCGCTAGGAGCAATTGTGCAAGCTAGCTGTGCTTACTTTTTTCATTTTAAAAATAAGGGTCATAATGTTTTCTACCTTTAAATAGTTAATGAGAATTAAATAACACTCATTGGCCAACTTTTATGTTAAAGCCCCAGTACCATCCCTGCCTTCCCCACACACTTTTTACGTCCCTCCCCTGTATTCAGGGGCCTGAAGTCTGACATTTTCCAGAATAATTTGCCAGCAGGGTCCAGGTGAGATTCAGTCAGCAGGAGGCAGCAGAGACCCACTGCTGCTTCCCCCAGAGTCTGGAATCTGAGCTTCAGATTCAGTTTTGCTGTTATTTCTGCAGGTTATTCCTGATATTGCACCAGGACAGGAGGCAGTTACCCTGGTCTTTACATTTCAACCAATCCAGTGGTTTTGTCAGCAGCAGATTTTTCATTCTATTCCTCCCTGCTGAAAGTGGAGCAACTAACTTTTCGTGGGAGTATGAAATGATGCAGCCACCTTGGAAATCCATTTGGCTGCTTCTCATAAACATACAGTACTACCCTGTGACCAACAGTCCTACGCCAAGAATTTGCCCATGACAATGGCCTCACCAAGACCCATACAGCAATGCTTATAGCTGCACTCCTCCCAATCATTGGGAAACTGGAAATATCCTGCCCATCAATAAGGGGATGGGTAGGCTGTGGTACACCCATATGATGGAATATTAATCCAAAAGGAAAAGGAAAAAGCTTACACACAACAACATGGGTGGCTTTCAAACAAGATGATGAGTGAAAACCTGGCACAACAGAGTATATATTTTATATGTCAGCCATGGAGGATGCAGTCCCCATACAAGAAACTTCCAGTCAGATATGAGGAGTTATGTTGACCAATAGCCTACAGGTGCTTCACCTTTGGGATAGAAGTGAGGTCAAGCTCTTCACAGAAGCCCACTTGGTGACTGGGCAAGGGAGTAATGATGAATGCCTGGACATTCCTGCCCAACTTGGGACTTGATGGGAAACCCCTGCACAGGGGCCCCTTGTTGGGCTGGCTGAGAATTTTTCACAACTGCCCTAAGCCGGGGCTCCTCCTAACCAGTTCCCACTTCTCTAGGTATGAAATTCCTCTCCATTGACTCCTCTTCCCTTTTCTCTCTTCAACAAGACTTACCTGTGATGAATCACTAGCACTGCTTACTCTATCCTGCTTCCAGGACTCCCAACCTGCATATATATTTCATTTATATGAAATCTTAATAGAGGCAAAATTAATCTATCAAGCCAGAAAACAGATCAGGAGTTGTCTGAACCAGAGGGCAAACAAGACAGTCACCAAAATACATACCATGCTCTTCACTCATCAGGCACCTAAAGTAGTCAAGTCCCTAGAAACAGAAAATAAAATGCTGACTGTCAGGGGCTGGGGGGAGGAAGGAATGGGAGTTATTATTTAATGGGTACAGTTTGTTTTTCAAGACTTATCTTGCAGAGTCCTGAGTAGAGATGGTGGTTATGATTGCACAACAATATGAACACACTTAGTAGTACCAAATTGTATATTTTAAGATGGTCAAATTTTGTTGTGCTTATATTACCACGATAAACAAATCTTAAAACAAATAGAGTGATATTAAAATTGTATTTTTTAAAAAGCCATCTCTTCCAAGAATCAAAAATGTTGGGCACCCCACTAACAAGGGAGATTGGAATTCTTGGGCTCCAGTTAGTAGTGAGCAGTATTAATTATGGAGGGATTTCTGGAGGAGGCGGGGTGGTTGGGCTGATGTCAAATAAGAATTCCAATGGTGAATGATTCTACCTCAGTGACTACCTGGGGCTTGCCCCTCAACTCACCTCTTCACAGTCTCCAAGGAGACAGGAAGCTTGGAATACCCATATTGCTGTCACCTGGCAACCAAGAATTGGTGGCTGCAGCCACCTGCCATGTTCTTATCACCATCCTGGGCCCTCGTCTCTGCTGCCCAAGCAACGAGGGCCCAGCCAGGAAAACACCTTCCACCTTCTTCCTTCTCAGCCACTCACAGGTCTCACAGCGAAGACTGAGGCTTGTTGATGGAGGTATGTCCAAAGAAAGTTACAGATGGACCACAGGTAGAACCTAGGCAACCTCCAATACCCAGGGATCCTGCCATTTGTGCCCATCTATAGAGGACTCTGGGGTTGGGTTCAGGGTAAGGTAACACAGTAATGGTGCTCTGGGGATTCACAGCCTCACACAAGAGACAGAGCTCACCTTGTTCTTCGAACACAGAGATGCTGGTGCCTATTCTGTGCTGGCTGAGGGGCCACAGATTTGCAAAGGCTCTTTAGGGAGAGGGTCCGGCATAGCAGATGCTGCAGGTTGTCCTGCCCTTTCCTTAGCTGTCACCTCTGAGCACCAGAGGCTGCTTTCTCTAAGCTCTGCAGCTCTCAGCCTGAGACTTTTTCAAGCCCACAGAAGTAGCCCTCACCTGAACAAATGGGGAGGAAAGGTACCCAAGTTTCTGTCACTAGCCCTCAATGCTAGATTCTGAGACATGCCCGACACTGCCTCCCAGCGTTGCTGGCAGGACCAAGCTCCAGGTGCCCAGATCAGTCCGTTGACGGGCAACACTGACTGGCTTCCCTTTTTTGTCTCACTGCCCCATCCTCTTACTGGTATTTCCTGGAATCAGCTCCCAAATAAACCACTGAAATCCATGTCTCACACTGTGTTTCAGGGAACACAAGCTTGAGCACAGGGATGATGATGTGTAACAGCAAACCAATGCTCTGTGCCAGTCTAGTTACAACCAAATGTATACAAGGCAATGGTGAACCAAGGGGATTCTGGGGGAGCTCTGAGTCCAGGTGCAGGAAATGAAGGCATTTATTGTCTGTAAAATAAAAAAACCCAAAGTGTAAACTGAACAAAAGCCAATCTGCTTTTTATTATTAACATGACCCAGTCATTCCAATCAATTTTAGTGAGAAAATTCTCCTCTCGAAACTCTGATAGCTCTTGCTGCCTAATATCTAAACTTTGTCACCCCACCTCTGCCAGTTTCATCGAAAGTAACAGATTGCAGGTAGAGAAGAGTAAGAGAAGCCCTCACCTAGGAGGCAGCATCGATCGCTAATCACCTCATATTAGCTACACTGCCCACCTCCATGCCTCTGCATATGCTATCCCCTTTTACAAGATTACCTTCAGTTCCTCAGTGCATTCCCAATCCCCTGTGAAGGTTCAATACAGTTGGAAATCTCTTCCTCCAGGAAGCCCTCCCTGACTTCCAGCCTGAATTAGATGCCTCCCCTGGACGTATAGAAACTTCCAAGGGCTTATCTATTATGGTAGATTTTTAAAACAATTTATTTTCCTACATCTTCTTTAATTTTTGAATAGTATTTGATTTCTCCCCTGTGGTGTAGTCCTTGGAGTTCTCCCACCACGGTCACAGCACTCGTAATACCTTACCACAGTCTACTGTGCTCTTCCATCCCCAATTTTGACCTCTACCTTCCCCACCCCTGCTGTATTGTGGGAGTTTTCATACTGGGTTACCTTTTCTTCTTCTTTTACCACTAGACAGTGAGTTCAGAGAGACAGGAACTCTGCGTGCTCTTTTGGGTCCAGCTCACAGTAGGCACTTAGCATGGGGCTGCCACTGGACAGGCACCGTGGTACAGTGCACAGCCTGCATCACCATCCATGGCAACCCAAGCTGGGAACTTAATGCTGATTGAATAAACTGGTAGAATTTTCAATAACTGGGGACAGAGGTTGCAAGCAGAAAGGACAGAGCAAGTGAAAGCAAGAATTTCCGTAAGTACAGAATTTCTACTTACAGACTATAGAGCATCCCTAAAGGCAATAACAATTCAGTAGAAGATTGATGCAGAGACATCCAAGTGAGAGACGATGATGGGGCACACCAAGGGACTGAATGGGATAGGGAAACAGATTACTGGAAGGAAACGGTAGGTGTATTTCAATGGAACTTGTTGAAGGAATAATAGGTGATAAAAATCATGAAGCAACAGGCAAGTAAGTGATTGAAATTTGGTAGTGCATTAGGAGTACCAGCTCTGAAATAATCAGCTGTCTTCTTGGAGGAAATGGTTTTAATTCTCTGAGCTGGTTTCTGTTATTCCCCAAATGGGGATAATAATGAAGCATCATAGTTCATAAGAGTTGTTGATGGAGAGACGTGAAGATCTTGCACACTATAAACACTTAATAAATGCTGGCTGGATGTGTCATCATGGTCCAATTTACCAATTTACTCACAGGTGGTGAGGTACAAACGAGTACAAGTGAAGCATTCAGAATAATGTGGCACAAACACGCCACAACTATGGCTAATTTCAGGCATGTTTCTAACCTCTTCCCCAATCTAACATAGTCCCACCTCATTTTGCAGATGGGAGAGAAGTGACTCAGAGCAAGGTGGCCTCTCCTCCAGGACCCACACCCTGAGCGTAGCAGCCCGAGCCCCCCACCCCGCCCCCCGCAAAAGCCCGACTCTGACCGCGCGCGACCTGACGGAACCTTTCCGTGTTTCCCCAAGTTTCCAGCCGGGCGCACTGGCGGAGATGTGCCGGTGCTTCGAGCTACTTCCGGCAGCCGCGCCCCGCCCCGCCCCCCGGTATCTCCATTTTGGCCGCAGGTAGAGACGCAGCTTGGGTAAGCCGAGCAGCATTGTCATCTGGATTTGGAGGCTCACCGCCCTCGTCTCCCATTTTCCTTCCCCCGCAGGAGCCGTGAGCGCGCATGGCGGGCTTGGAGGTTCTGTTCGCCTCGGCGGCGCCCGTCATCACCTGCGCGCAGGACGCGCTCGTCTGCTTCCTGCACTGGGAGGTGGTGACACACGGCTACTACGGCCTGGGTGCTGGCGACCAGGTACGCCTGGGGTCGGGGTGGAGGGCTAAGGTGTCTTCTGCCCAGACCCGGAGGACCAGAGGCCTGACTTTCCCCCCTTTCCAAGTCTGACTTGGGGCTTCATGACACCATTGGTAGAGCCTGTTCCTTGTGCCATGTGTTGGTTCTTGCAGGGCAGAGAAAATGCTGGCCCCAGTCATATTAGGGAAGGCCAGGAAGCGTGAGAGGTGGGGCACTGGAAGGCAATCCCTGGCTGCCCACCGCAGTGCTGAATCTTGCATGCACTCTGTGGATAGGCCGGGTTCGTATTGCACACGAGATGGTTTATTTTTGCTTCTCACTGCCTTCTCCTTCAGTGCCTTTGGGGCTCGGGTTGCAGTTGTCCTCTCACTTCTGCTGAGTCTCCTTCTCTGGCCTACAGGCTGCTTGCCTCTGTGGAGAGGCAGCTTCCGGAGAGGCAGCTTTCCTAAGATTTAATCCTCTGATCTGAAGCTAACAGACTCAGATGAGAAAGGTAGTATTTGTCAGCTTGAAAGATGTGTGTATTCCCTCTCCAGTAACCCACTCCCCATTTGGGGGGGGGGTGATAAGAGAAACAGGAATGTCCCCAAAGTGTTTATTTGGTCATTTAATATGTTAACAGTTACATAGAACACTACATTTTCTGCTTGTCTTTTTGGCTTTGTCACCTCTGGCACAGGGGATTGTGAGTGTACCATCTGATTGGAAGAGCCATGAAGCCTTTGGCTTCAGTAAAAATTGATCATTTGAATTTGAATTTCTTCAAGTCAGTCCCACTTCTCTTAAGAGCTTTACAGCTCTGTCAGGTGGTCTAAGGCAACAAGGTGGATGCAGATGATTGTACACTTCAGTAAGAGAATTTTGGTTTCTGTTGTAGGAATCTACTGATTATGAATGACAGGGAGATGATACCCAGGATGAGCTCTTTGCCCTTTGGGTGCAGTTTGGCACAGAGGCACCGGGGTACAGAATAAGTGCCATTGAGGACTTATTCTGCGGGACCTGCCTGGGAAAAGTCTTCACCCATTGCCCTGGCAGTCAGAGCTCCGAACACTAAGCTCTGCACCTCACATACCTTAACCTTGGGTAGTTCTCAGCACCTCTGAGCCCTCAGGCTGCTTAGCAGAGGTAGTTAAATTGCACAAGCGTGTGCTTTGGCTATTTTCCAGTCATAGCTTTCTGGGAGGCCTGATACCTAGTGCCAGGGCCCAGAGGGCAGTTGAGTGCCATGTTGGGCCTGTTATCATCAAGGCCAGCCTCTCTCCGTCCCGCCAAAGTCCCGTATCAAGGCAGCCTTTTGGCTGGGGACTGTGTTCCACTCAGCGAGAGTCATGGGCTCCGCCTGGCCCGGGGGTTCTGTGTTCTGTGGGAGCCAGAGGTGTTGGGATGATGAGCAAATTATCTATAGTCTAAAAAAAGATTGTGGTGGGTTGAATGATCTACATGGAGGATATAAATATACATTCAAAGGCCCCGGACAGAACAAAAACAAAAAATTATATTGTCAAGTGATTGGCTTCCAAAGTAAACCTTAAATCCAAACACAAAACATGTCACGGGAAACTTGTGACAGAACCGTTTCTCTTTGGTTTGATTTATTAGTTTTGCTTTTGCTTTTGTCACTTTCACTTCTCTGCTTCAGGCCCGTGGCTTCCTTTGCCACCCAGACAGACTTTAAGACATATCAGTGGGATGTTGTAAGCACTTGATTTTTATTTGGGATGGTTCCCCCCATGGATTCCTGAACCCCAGAGCCTGCACTTCTCCATCACGGCCTCCCCTAGGCCGCCATGTGTGTAAAGTCTATGCTGCTGGTCCTTGTCCTCTGCTGCCATTCTTCCCCTTTGGTGGCACTCTGCCCTGCTGTTCGTATGACACAGAGCTTCCAGGATACTTAATCAGTGCTTAGTTATAGAAATATGTTTCCACAAAAGCATAGATATTTTTTTCTTTAGTGTGGCCTGCTTTTTAAATTTCACATATATTGTACTCAGCTATAAGGCTCACTTTTTCTTTTGCCATTTTTCACTTTTAAATTTAAAGCTACAATTAGATGTAGGTTGTTCCTTCTGACAGCTGCGTAGTATTCCACCATGAACATATTTTGCATTTTATGTCCACTTTGGTGCCCAGCTAGGTTATGGTAAAGATCCCATGTCCTTTCCTTATGTCTCTGTGCCAGTGTTTCTCTCCAGAGTGAAGTTTCAGGTCATGGGGTATCACCTCACCTGACTGCACTAGTTCCTGCCAGATTGCCCTCCAGAGGGTTTTGTGGTTGTGATTCGCCACCAGAAGTGCTAAAAAGTCCCCATGCCCCACCACACACACGCCACACACATGGCACTAGCTAAATGGATGTGCTCCTGGTAATTCATTATTTCAGCCTCTGCTGCTCAGGTTGCTAGAGCTCCTGTATAAAATGTGAGCTGCTCTTGTTTGTTTGTATCTTTTCCCCATTTTCAAGTGGCTTCCCAACTTTTATCATTCATTTCCAAGCATTCCTTGCATGTGCTATTCATTCTTTGTCACGTGTAACTGTGGCCCTCTGGCCTGTGGCTGCCTATCAACTCTGTAGTGTCTATTGTGATTATGAACAATCTCAAAAACTGCATTTTTTTTTTTTTTTTGTGGACCTTGTTTAAGATCTTTGCCCTGCTGTAAATTACTTTATTCATTTTCACTATAGAAATAGTTTGAGAACTGTGTCTCAAGCTTTACTGTATAAAAATTTTAGGATTATTAAAAAGAAAAGAAAGGAGGACATCACAGCTCATAGTAATGCATTTTTACACACACAAGTTTCACAGAATTCAAATGTTGGACAAAGCAACATTGCAGGCCACAGGGAAGAAGAAGAATGCATGCACCCTGCGAGTGGAAGCGTAAATCAGTACCTCCTGGAAAGCAGTTTGGCTTTATCTTATAAATTAAAAGTCCTGTCCCCAGATGTTGTAAAATTCATCCACATGTATACTAAATGTGTATAGGAGTGTTCATAGCAGCCTTGTTTCTAATGGTAAAACAGTGAATTGGAGCCAAGCCAGAAGCCCATCCGCAAACATGTGTGCAACTTGTCGCATGTTCCTCCAGTGGAGCACTGTCCAGCTGTGAGCTCGGCAGTGGGTGTTACACAGTGAATCACCTCTGACTGGCATACACTGAGGTCCATAAATCTCAGAAACAGTATCAAAGAAAAAGGCAAGTGGTAAAAGTGATGCTATTATTATAAAATTTTAAAACATTTAAGATAATATATGTTTAGAGTTGTGTGTGTAGTACTACAACTGTAAAGAAGTCAGGAATTTTTTTTTTAAGATTTATTTATTTATAGGGTATAGGCCAGAGATGCGGAGTGTGAGAGGATTCACCAGAGACAGAGAGGGGGACAGACAGGCAGATCGACGAAGTACACTGCTGAGGGGAGCATCGGGCGGGTCAGGAGAGGTCTGCCGCACCATGTGGTCACCTCCGGGGCAGGCGGGGATCGAACTCATGCGGAAGTGGCTTTAGCGTCTTAGTGCTGTGCTTTAACCCGCTGCACCACCAGGGAGGGCCCGAAGTCAGGAATTCTTTAAAATACAGAGTACTGGTTACCCTTAAAGGGAAGGAAGGAGATTGTTGAGCGTACTCAAAGCTCTGGTTGTATTGCTGATAATCTCTTAAGCTGGTGGTAGATACGTGTCTATTTTATAATTCTTTTTTACTTATTATAAATACTGCATTTTGTGTGTGTGATTATTCATAATTATTGTTAATCCACTACAGTAGTCAGGAAGGGGGTATATCAGAGTGTGTACTTGTTTTAGACAACACATTATTGATTATAACTTTGAAAAGCACTGCTGGGGCCCCCCCTGGTGGTACAGTAGGTTAAAACACAACACTATGAAGCTATCTGCAGCCACCGCAGCAAGAGTTCGGTTCCCAGCCAGGGAGCTGGCCCACATGGCATAGCAGACCTCTCCTGTCCTACGTGCTGTGCCCACCAGCAGTGTATTTTAGTTGATCTGCCTGTTCTGTTCCCTGTTGTCTCTAGCGAATCCTCTCACCTTCCACACCTTTGCCTGTACCCCAGTTCTTGTTTGCATAAATAAATAAATCTTGAAGAAAAAAAAAAACACTGCCCTAGAATGTTCCAGTATTCTTTCAGATGATTGGCCTTATTCTTGCCAAGGTAACAGAAAAGAGATGATTATTAAACTAAGGCCGCAGATTTTTGACAGGTTCCAGTGCTGTATCACACAGGCAATCAGGGTTAAGGAAGAGCACTAGAAGAGGTGTCAGAGGCGGGACCCCAACCACTAACTTGCTGTATGACTGGTCCTTTTACTTCTGACCTCCACACCTTGACTGAAATGAGGGAGTAGGATTAGGTTACCTATTCAGTATGCGGTTTTTCATAGTTCTTTGTTCTGTGGCTGGTGTTTTTCTCATTCTGGTGTCTTTTTCAGCCAGGGCCTAATGATAAGAAATCAGAACTTCTGCCTGCCAATTGGAACAGCAATAAAGACCTGTATGTCCTCCGCTATGAGTCTAAGGATGGGTCCAGGAAACTCCTCGTGAAGGCCGTCACTGTGGAGAATAGCATGATCATCAACGTGCTGGTGAGTCTGGAACACAGAGGGGTGGTTGGTGCGAGTGGACATTGGGGATGGCTTTTTGAAACCCAGTTAATGGTGTGAAGCAAGGATCCTAAATGTGAGACCCTTACCCAGTGATCCCAATTCTGAAACTTTATCATAAGACAAGAATCCTAAATATAGAAAACCTTTGTTTTCAAAACTGTTCCCCACTGGTATTTAAAAGGTGCATTTGCCGTCACAGGGGAATGGTAAGTAAATTAAGGCAAGTCCACGTAGTGACAACATGGTACAAAAAGCTTACTGTTGGCTCACAGGGCTACTTCAGTTCTTCACAAAAGTCTGGCTCTTCCGGTCTTGAAACCTGTGAACTTTGTTTCCTGCCTGGGAGCGCCTTCCCCTGCAGTGACTGCCTTGCACGCATTCACATCCTCCACCATTCCTTTCGCCTGGCTAATCTCTCATTTTTCATGTCCTCAAAAAGTTCAGTCCTGACTACCCACTCTCATCTGCTGGAAAAATCTAAATAATGCCTCTCTACATCATCGTTTTTCTGCCAGGTACTTAGCACAGTTTGTAGTTACGTACTTCTGCTTTGGTGACGTTTGTATTATGCCTGGACTGTACGCACCAGTTTGTCCTGACTCTGTGTGTTCATTTGAAAGTATCGTGCAACTGGTATTGTCCTGTGCCTTGCTTTCTTCACCCACTATGTTTTGGGGGTCTTTGCTTGGGATTGCTTATAGCTCTACCTGTACACTTCAACTGCTATATAATATCCCATAAGGCCATATTTACTTATACTTTCTCTTTTGATAGACATTTGGATCTTGTATCAAACAGGGTTCAGAGTTACAAACAACAGAATCCCCTCAGGCTAATAATAAATCCAGGGTTTATCAAGAGAACTGGGATAGCTCATTGAGTTGTTGAAAAGAACCAGAAAAACAGATCAAGACTGGGCTTCTAGGACAGCACCCCAAACCACGCCATGGAAACAAGTACTGCCGTTACCAGCCTGAGACCTCAAATCGTGGCTGATACCACAGCCTTGGTGCCCCGTACTCTTCCGCTGAGGCTGAGGCCCTGCTGCCTCTACTGCCGCCTGCTGTAGCAAGATCCCGCCTCTGCCGGGCCTGCTTCTCTGTATGAAAGTTGTGTATCCCTTTGGCACTTCAGTTACAGGCTTGTGTCCAAGCTGCAAAAAATGTCTCGGACCTAGTTTTTCTGGGATCTGCCTCGGAAAGGCTGTACTCCTAAATCAGAAAAGCTTCCAGGATTAGTCAGATATTTCATGTGTTACAAACAGTTCTTACATGTGCAGATATCTATTTCTTTAGGCTAAACATTTGTTTTTCTTCTCTTTCACTCCCACCCTGCCATGTGCTCATTAACCCAGAAATAGCCCTGTCTCTCATTTTCTTTTTCAATTTTTCTAGGAATATGGCTCACAGCAAGTGTCAGACTTGACCCTGAACTTGGATGATTATATCGATTCAGAACACCTGGTTGATTTCCACAGGTACTGCTAAGTGATGGCTTTTCCCTGGGATAAAGAAGAGAACTAGTGGTCAGATATAAGAATGGGATGAAGAAGAGGAAGGTTTGCAAAAGGATCTTTAACTCCTGGGCATAATCTCTTCTCAGTTCTCTTTGTCCTTCTGAGAATGTATGTAGTCAGAATATTGCATTCAAAAGGTACTTAAATTATTGCTCCCCCCCCCCATGATTGTAGCAAAGTTAGCTGATCTGAATTAGATCCATTTATTTCTGCTTTATTTCATTTTAAGGACTTTTCCCCATGCTCATTGACTTTCTCGGGTTTAGAAAGAAATCTGATACCTCTGTAAATTCATAGCTGCGATAACTGCTTAGAAAACTTTATATTTAAATCCATCTAGTCAGCAGTTGCAATTTTGAACCTCATCCAGTCCTCCCTGCATTCCAAACCACCTACCTCTGTCATGTCTCTACTGTCTACTCTCCCTGTGTCTGCCCCTCTTCCACTCGGCCTCTGTAAGAGGATACAGCCCCACTTCCACTCCTGCTCACCACACTCTGCTTGATTTCCCGCACAACCGTCAGACCAGCCTTTCTAAAACATAAGATGAGATCACGGATAAAATCCAAATGTCTTAGAAGATTTGGAAAGAAGGGAAGGACATTTAGAATCTGATAAATGTTCTTTACCTACTTGAAGTTCCCCTTTAGTCCTAGATAGTTGAGTGTTTTTATCATAAATGGTCTTATCATTTTAGATTCTCCAATGTTTTTTCTCCAACTGATGCAGACATCAGTTGATATGATCATGGTTTTTCTTATTGGTATGGTCAGATTTGTGAATATTGAATCAGCGTGGATATCTATAATAAATCTAAAATACAGAATTATTTTTATTTATATTTTATATTGTTGCTCAATGTAATTGTTTGCTGAGAATTTTTGCATACAAGTTCATGGGAAATACTGGTTTTCTTTTTTGTACTCTGGTTTTGATATCAGGGTAATACTGTCCTTCTAAAATGAATTGGGAAATGTTTCTTCTGGAGGTGACTAAACTAGTGTTGATTTTTCTTTAAGTGTTAGAATTTGCCACTGAAATCATCAGACCTAGAGATTTCTTTTGGGGGAGGTTGCATAACTATGAATTTGACTACTTTAATAGAACTTTTTCAGATTATCTATTTCATTTGATTAAGTTGGTACTGTTTTTGTATTGGTATTCTGAGTTGTTGAATTACATTGTTTCTAAGTATTCTCTTATCCATTCAAATGCAATAGATCTGTTGTAATGTCCCATTTCCTTCTTGATAACTGGCGATTTGTATCTTTATGCTTAGCAACCTTGCTAAGAGTTTTTCAGTTTTATTCATCTTCTAGAACTCTAGTTAGCTTTATTGTTTTCTATTTTCTCTTATTGATGTTCTTTATTACTGTTCTTTATTACTTCTACTTACTTTGGGTTTAATTTGCTCTTTTTCTAAGTTCTTACAGTCAGAATTTTGATTGATTTTCTTTTTAGTTATAATAATTTAATGTAACAGTTTCCTCTTAACATTGCTTTAGCTGCTCTCTAATGTTGTTCTCTAATTTTTAGTCTGTCTGTGTTTTGTATTTTTTTTCAAAACTTCTTTATGACCCATGGATTACCTGGAATTGTGTTGCTTAATTCTGCATATTTAGAGACTTTCTTTTTTTGATATTAGCATTACTCCAAGTGGTGAGAGAATGTATTCTGTATGTTTGCAACTCTTGCACTTTTGTGCACTTTATTTTTTGACCCAATATATTGGCTTCTTAAAACACCAGAAGAAAGGTGTAGAATAGCCTTCCAAAGGCCCCTGAGATAGACCCCGGGCCCCCCAGAGCCAGGCCTACCTGGATTAAGAACCTCGTTCATCTTCCCCGTGGACCCTTTGCCTCGTATGACACATACGATGACACACAATGAGACTGAGGATAGGGTGGGGTAGGGAGGCAGAGGAGCAGCCAGGTCAGGCCCTGTGCTCACCCCCACCTCTTTCTAATGGGGTGGTAGGTGAGGAGGGGCAACTCATGCCTAAGAAGCCTAGGCCCAAATCTCGGAGACAGCGCCGGGCTGCTGCCCCCCTCATCCAGGTCCGCCGGACGGGCAGTTCCCACCCTGGAAAACGGTCCACACGCAACGCCAAGGGTTACCAGGGTCGCCGCCGCCATTACTGCCGCGGCCACCACCAAAATAAGGTGTGCGGGGTTGGCAGCCAGGTGCATCAAGTTGATACCTCATCTGCTTCCTACAGGGCCTATAAGAACAGTGAGGAGCTTCGGTCTCGTATCGTGTCTGGAATCATCACTCCTATCCATGAGCACTGGGACAAGGCTAGTGTAAGCAGCCCCCACCGGGAGTTTCCCCCTGCTACTGCCAGAGAAGTAGACCCACTCCGGATTCACCCACGCCACCCACACCCCGGCCACCAACCTCCCTGGTGAGTACATAGCCCGAGTGGGCAGCCCATACTTGAGCAGAAGGACCGTAGCATCCTGGCTCTTGACCCTCTTTCTGGTCCCCAAATGTCTTCCACAAAATTGCCAGGGCCTTGGTATGTGGATATAAATATCCTAGAAAACGGAGACATATGGAGCATCAAAGTTCTTGTACTGCTCCTAGTCACCTTCACTGTGCTGCATTATAAGGCTGCCCGCCTCTTCCTAGAGACCACACCGATCCCCTGAGTCTGCCCAGGAGTCAGTACCTCTGGAGCTTGTTTCCAATAATCCAAAGTGGCTGCTGGGTAGTCAGTCCCTAAGCCCTTTGGCTGTGCCGGGTCACTGACCAGACTTCTGGGAAAATGCAGAAGTGCTCTCCTAGAGGGTATGAGGTCCCAGAGTCTTGCCTATTTCATTTCATGGTTGTCCCTGAATTCTTTGACAGCTTTAGAATTTTACCAGAACAGTAAAGGGTATGAGCGAGTAATGTCTAAGATCTTTGCAGATAAGGATGGCAGCATTTAGGACTGGAAAATTCTGCTCTGAGGAAAGAGATGAGGATGAATGAGGGTCTCTGAGATGGCATCCCCAGCTGAGGGGCTGGAGTGAGGTAGTAACAGTGGGGTACGGTTCACTGTGAGGCCAGAGCTCAGTCATGTTACCTGCTGCAGTTTTATTCTGTTTCACAATGATAATCCTTTAGTTAGGTTTTTTTTTTTTTTTCCAGTACATTATTACAAGTAATAGTTGGCAACTTTTGGGGACAGTCCTTCAGGAAGAGTGGAGAATAATCAAAAATGACTGAAAGGTTGGAACCTCTTTAATTTACAGGCAAAATAATGTAGATAAGTACAAGCTATTTATGGGTGTTAAGACTATTGATGGAAAACTCTGTAATGAATGTGTCAGCTGACACCACCTGAACCCTTAATCAATCTTAACACTAATTGCTGGACTGCCGGACATTAAGTGTCTTCTAATATGATGCACTAGTAAGTGAATCTAGATCTAACGCCAAGTTTAAAAGAAGCATGAAGGATAGGACCCTCTCTGGTGGCACAACACTAAGAAGCTATAGCAGCCACTGCAGCACAAGTTCAGTCCCCAGCCAGGAGGGAGGTGACCCACATGGAGTGGCAGACCTCTCCTGTCTCGCCTGCTGCTCCCCTCAGCAGTGTACTTCAATATATCTGTCTGTTCTGTTCCACACTCTGTCTCTGATGAATCCTCTCCCCCCCCCCACACCTCTGGCCTGTACCCCAGTTCTGTATACATAAATAAATAAATTTTTTTTTTAAAGCTTGAAGAATATGAGAATATGAGCCATATGAGAATATATGTGTCGAGGCAGAACTGGGAAAATAAAAAAATATATAGGATAAAGTGACCTTTTTTTACCATCAAGTAAAAGAATGGTGCTGGAGAGAAAATGGAGGGAGGAGACCTGTTATAAAAACTGAGTCAAATCCAGTAAATACAATGTTGGGCTGCAGATCCTGATACAAACTAATTCAAAAAATCACTTTTGATATTGGGGAAATTTGAATCTAGACCAGGAATATAACATTAGGAGTATTACTGCTCATTTTGTTAAGTGAAATAATAATTTCTGTCTTGTTTTATATGTTTACAAAGAATGACATCTTTAAGGTTGAAATGATACAAGACTTGCTTTAAAACAATTTCAAACACCTACTTTCCCCTCCCCCTGCCGAGACTACGACATTGGGAAGCAAGTGGAAGTGAAATAAGAATGCTGGAATGTTGAGAATTATTGAAACTGATTGAAAGAGTACATGGGTTCCTACTATTCCTACTTTATTGGGCCCATTTAATAATCTCCTTAATAGTGAGTTTTCTTATTAACCCTTCACAGTCTTCAAAACAGGAGTTGGGAAGGACACTTCCCAACTCATTCTTTACCCTGATACCAAAACCAAACACGTCACAAGGAAATTACCGTCTAGTTCCCCATGTGACTATTGAGGTAAACATTCTGAACAAAATACTAGCAAAACAAATTCACCAGCATAAAAAGGATTAGACACCATGACCAAATAAAATTTATCCCAGAAATGGTTGGTTTAACATCTGAAATAAACCAGTATAATACACCATTAATAGAACAAAGGACAAAAACCACATGTTCCTCTCAATAGACAGAGAGAAAGCTTTTGACGAAACTCAAACCCTTTCATGATAAAAGCATTCAGCGACAGAGGAAGGTTTTTCAGAATAATGAAGAGCATTTGCAAAAGCCCACAACTAACGTTTTACTTATGGAATACTTTCCCTCCAGGATCAGGAACAAGACAAGAGTATTTGCTCTTGCTCCTTACAATGTACTATTTAAAATTTTCAACAAGGCAGTCACTCAAGAAAAAATGATATCCAGGTTAGAAAGGAAGAAGTAAAACAGTCTATTTGCCATTATTTCTCTGTCTTGTATATAGAAAATTCTAAGGCATCATCTAAAAATAATTTTCCAAACCAATAAATGAGTTGAGTAATGTGGCAGAATACAAGATCAATATGTATATTAGTAATTGAGGGAACTATCCAATTTATATTAACGCTCCCCAAAGAATAACATACTTAACAATAAACTTAACAAGAGACGTGCAAGGCTTCTTCGCTGAATACTATAAAACATTGTGGAAAGAAGTTGGAAGTTATAAGTAATGGAAAGACATCCTGCACTTCTGGAAAGGATACTTAATGTTGGCAGCACTGCCCAAGATTACTGGAGTTTTGTTATTGGTGCTTTTTATTGTTTTGATTTTCCTTAGGAATTGCAAGCTTATTCTAAAATTTCTGTAGAAACCGGGAGACTAGAATAGCCAAGACAGTCTTGGCAAAGGAAGTGGCGCATTTACAGTACTGCGTGATGCTGGTTGACAGACACTGTGGTACTAACGTAGAATAAACATTTAAAACAGGGCATAGAGCAGAGGAAAAAACCATACATTCTAGGGCACTTGGCTTCAGCAAGGGTGCAAGACATTTCAATGAAGAACAATACAGTTTTCCCTCATTATCCAGAAGTAGAACATTCCTATAAAACCTTTCATTAAACCTAAATGGCAAAAAGCAGTTTCATTAATTTACATGGAAAAAATTTTGAGTATTCCCAGACCCAGAAAGTAACCTACCAAATCATACTAAGTAACACATAAAACTAGTAAAAGAAAAAACAAGTAAAAACAGGAATGTAGGCATATATAGCCAGAACTGTAGAAAGTCATTCTGGTGGGGGACAGTGGTGAGGGCTTGACGTGGCTGTTTATGTACAGGGTGCTTGCTGGTTCTGACAGCTCACTGCAAAACTGCAACTGAATACTCTTGTTGCTTTTTTCCTTTTGTTGAAAAAGCAGAAACCTTTGTATTTATGTCAGTTAGCAAGAATGAGTTGTTGGTTATTCATGCAGTGGGGTCACTTAGGTGTGAGAGTGTTCCCGGGGGTCCGGGTGGGGAGACATTGGGCAGCTCCGCTTAGGTCCATTGTTTCTGTCACTGACTGCGCGTACTGAGTGTCGGCAACTGCCACTTCTCAGCATGCCGTCGACATGTCGATTGTGAACCAAGTGCTTTCCTTTGTGGTTGTTCATCTTCCAGGCAACCCTACAGTATGATCAGCACAGGGGCAGGCGACTGTGAGGGAGGCAGCTGAAGTACTGGCATACTGGGAGGGTCCCAGAAGTGGCTGAAGCGTGAAGACTGGAGTTCTCTGCTTGTGAATCTGACAGAAACTTATGCTTTCCGCCCTGCATCCTTTCCTTCAGTTCTAGTTCACACAGTCAGTTTATGTGCAAGTTCACTGATTATGGAGAACAATCCTTCCCCTTCCTACCCCATGGGGTTTTTCAGGAGGCCTGCCTCCCAGGACTGAGTGAGGTGGCAAGGAGGCAGCGTGCCTAGGAGGCTCTTTGTCAGCCACTGGTGAGTTGAACGCCTATCAGGGCTCCCACCGCGGCACTGCCGTCTGCTTCCCCTGCAGCACGCTCCTTGCCAGTCCCCTTCCCCAGCACAGATGACTAATGACACCAGTTTGTTATTATAACACCCCCCACACACCATGTTGCTGAGCAACCAGGACTCGCACTTTTTACCTTTTTGTTTCTCCCTGAAATGCTTAATTTGGGGGTGCGGCCTCAGGATAAGAAGATGGGAAAGAACACCCCACAGCTGGGCCATCTGACTGCAGCAGGGTGTTAATTAGCCCGTCACTGAACAGCCTTGGCTCGTGCCCAGAGCAGGAAATAGCAGCCTCTGCCCCTTCCCCCAGGACACCTCTTGCCTTCTACTCCCCATCTTGCTACTTCACACCTGGAAACGTCCCAGTGCAAACGGTGTGGGCAAATCTAACCCAGTGCATAAAGATACCAACTTCCCTAAATGTATGGTGACATTTGTCCTCCACTTGTCACGAGCCCAGCTGGTTTCATGCTGGGTGTGTCTAGGTGAGGAGTGGATGGAGAGGACACTTCTTTGTGATGGAGAATTGGGGACACAACATAGATCTGTCTTCATCCTGCGACCTATAGGAGAGAATTGCAAAAACAACCCAAATGTAAGGGGAATTTTTTCTTATTGGAGCTTAACTTTTTTGGCTTTCATTAAAATTCTAACTCATTTCCCTTTGCTCCAGCTGTCCAGTCAGACTGTGCCCCAAATCCTGATCCACTTTTGAAAAGCCAGTTTTCCCTATGCTTACCCAACATCCCTAAAAATAAGTCCTTGGCTATAAAGCTCTTAGTTAAGACATTCCAATTTCAATAAACCATATCTTCGTTTATTAATATTTCCAGTATTTTGTTTTCTGCATCCTTATTTTGAATAGTATAATTATGAGCTCGTTTGTATATAATTTTTTCTTTTACTTCCTTGATTGAGTAGTATTTTCTTTTTTAAAAAAAAAGGTCGATTATTTACGTATACAAGAACTGGGGCACAGGCCAGAGGTACAAGGGGTGAGAGGATTCAACAGAGACAGAATGGGGAGCAGAACAGGTGGATCTACTTAAACTGCTGAGGAGAGCAGTGGGAGAGAGAGGAGAGGTCTGCTGTGCCATGTGGGTCAGCTCTTGGTTGGGGATGGAACTCATGCTGCAGTGGCCGCTGACAGCTTCACAGCGCCGCGCTTTATCCCATTGTGCCACCAGGAAGGCCCTGAGTAATACTTTTTTTTTTTTAAAGATTTATTTATTTATGTTTACAGAACTGGGGTTTAGGCCAGAGGTGTGGTGGGTGAGAGGATTCACCAGAAATAGAGTGGGGAGCAGAACAGGCAGATTGACAAAGTACACTGATGAGGGGAGCAGCGGGCAGGTCAGGAGAGGTCTTCCGTCTGCCATGCCATGTGGGTCAGCTTCCTGGCGGGGAATCGAACTTGTCCTGCAGTGGCTTCAGAGAGCTTCATAATGCAGTGCTTTACCTCGTTGCGCCACCAGGGAGAGCCCCCCTGAGTAATACTGGCAGAGCTCAGCATTTTTGTTCTTAGAACCCTCTTGTAGTCACAACTACTGAGGACCACAGAGGGCTCTTGTTTGTGTTAGTCTATCAAAATTTAATACTAGAAATTACAACTGGAGTTTTCAAAATACACATTTCTCCATTTGGAAATTAGAATAAGTAAAATGCAGTGACTTGTCTTACATGGCTGCAGATCTAAGTGACTCAGGAGACAACTAGGTTCTCCTTCTGCTCTGTATTTATCTATAGGCAATGATGTTTTGTTAAAGCCTTACACAGGCAGATTCTAAGAAAAAGAGTAGTTTAATAGCCTCTTCCCTAAGTGTGGATATTTTTTACCTTACAACAAAACTTGACAAGAAATGGTTTCTTTAAGGGTTAGTTGCAATGTGGAATCTGAATCCATTGCTATTACATGTATACATTATTATATTAAATCCACCGGTCTGTCCTGTCCTCTGATGGATCTTTTATCCATGCATAACGTTGGATGAGCATGTATTTGTTCCTTGGAAAATACTGGTTCACAGATCTGCTAAACATTGACATTTTAGGACACAGTATCAGAAAATCCCCACGTTCATTAGTAATATCGTTTCATCAGCATCGATTTGGTAAGCCATCAAATTAGTGATGAATAGAAATTTTCAAATTGCTAATTTTCATTTGAAAACTTGAATTTTATTATTGGCAACATACACTCTCAGTTGTTTTCCTTCAAGTAACAGTCTCACATTATTTTGAGAAAATGTGTACTAGGAAGCCAAATCTGAATAACCATGGTTCGTCCATCAGTCATTTACAAGTAAAAAATGGCTTTCCGTGAGAAAATGGCTAGCTCAAATGTACTTTTCTTTGTGAGAACCACTGGCTGAGGACTCCTCTCTCAGCTCCTGAAGGCCAGTGTTTCTTCCCACAGAGGCTTCTTCATCTTCAGAGCCCCCAGTGGGGCGTGATGTCCTTCTCATGCTTCTACCTCCTCTTCTTCCACCAGCCTGAGAAAGTTCTCTGCTTTTTTAAGGACTCTTGTGACTAACTGTCCCCTTAGATAATCTCCCCTTTTTGAGAGATCGACTATTCCATATAAAAAAAACACAGGATTGATTTTTCATTATATTCGAAGGTTATGGAGAATAGGGGTAGTGGAATCTGATAGGAGCCTATTTCTAGAAATTTTACCTACCACAGTCCATTCTCTAGACCACCAAATGCAAAATGTCTCCCCTCCCCACCAACCCTAGGTTCCCAACAGTGTCGTCTCATTACTGAATTGGCTCAGCCTAATACCTTACCTAAATGTCATCATCTTGAAGGACCCCCACTGCTCACCTAAAGCATGTGAGGTTGAATCTCCTAAGCACCAGCCTTTTCTGTCTGTTGATCAAAGACACAAGTTGGCAGCTCCCAGTACCCACATCATACGTTGGAAGCTCAGAGACTAACAGAAAAAACATGTATGAGAGTTGTTAATTACAGCCTTACCTGTAGTTTCACATACCAAAGACAATACCATTACCTTTGGCAGAAGACTAAGCAAATCTTTAATTTTTTTATGTTTACATTTTAAAAGGATAGGCTTATTAGTAATGGTGAAAGGAATATGTATACCTATATCTGCATAGTCACAGGCGAGCAGGAGAGCTCTAAATTTTTAAACTTGTTTTACGTGAGTGAATATTACTTAGCCATTAAAAATATTAATAGTAAAGACAACTTGGGAAGTACAGGTCATAATGACAGAAAATAGGGAGATCTAAAATGATTTATAACATTATATATAAGAACTTGCTTATGAAAGACTAGAACAGGAAAAGTAATCTTGTGTCAGAGTCATTTCTTGTTTGAATGTTTTATCATTTTTAGTGTCATTTATGCATGTCTTCTTTCTCTTTTTTTTTTTTTAAATATTTATTTATTCATACAGAACTGGGGTACAGGCCAGAGATGCCGAGGGTGAGAGAATTCACCAGAGGCAAAGTGAGGAACAGAACAGGCAGATCAACGAAGTACACTGCTGAGGGGAGCAGCGGGCGGGTCAGGAGAGGTCTGCCACACCATGTGGTCACCTCCGGGGCAGGCGGGGATCGAACTCATGCGGAAGTGGCTTAAGCTTCTTAGTGCAGTGCTTTAACCCACTGCGCCACCAGGGAAGGCTGTCTTCTTTCTTTTAAAAGCCTCCATTCACTTACTTTATATGCAGTATTTTGCAGCCATCCGTAGTCTCCAGTTCACCGTGACCTCAGTAGGAGGTCCTCAGGTGGTGAGCAGGGCAAGCATTTCCTGCTTGCTCAGAGCGCTGAGGCTGCGCAACACTGATGCACATGTGCACACACCTGGGGCCGGCTTCCAGTCTGCTTCCCCAGCCTTGGTTTCTGTACTAGGCTGAGCAAAATAAATAAGCTAGGTTCACCAGTACTTCCCAGCTGAACATGGACCCTGGCTGGGAAGCAACCCAGCTGTTTGTGTTCCCCACTGACCTGCAGCATCATGTCACCTGGAACTTGTGAAAAATGCACTTGCAGGTCCCACCCTCGACCTTCTGAATTAGAACACGCAGTTTAGCAGCTCCCAGCTGTTTCATGTACACATTAAAGTTGGAACACCATTGGACTAGGTGCTTCACACAGTGCTGTGGGTGCCAATCCAGGGTTAGGGTCTGGAAACCTTGAGGTCATGGAGCTGCGTGCTCTGTGAAACCACAGTGGGCATTCTGCTGGAAGCCTCCTGTGCAAATTGAGAGCGGTATGTTCACACTCACTTGTGGCTGCAGATTAGCAGCTGTGTTGATGGGAGTGATACTGGTATTCTGTAATTAAGAATTTGGGTTTGGAAGGTTCTGGTTCTGGAGTCCGCATAGTCCCACCTGTTTTTCCCACTGCAGCTACGCAGAATGCGTGAAGTAACTTTTTGAGGACTCTTGAGAAGTAGCAGCTGGTAGACTGGGTGAAGGTGCTAGAAGTTTGAAGTACTAGCAGACTACTAATGAATTCGCCATTGTTTCCATCCAGTATCATCCAGTTTGAACTCAAGGAAACTCAAAATTAGGAAGCAGTCATTGGCGTGGATTGGGGACGCTCCAGGAGAGCCCTCTAGTCTGAACGAAGGAGTAGGAAGTTGGTCTACCAATGCTCAGAGGGAATGGGAAAAAATCTGTGTCTCTCCCTCCTGTTCTCCATTTATTTTGCATCTCAGCCTTGTGGAGGTTCCAAAAATCTAAAACTGAGGAAAAAGAACCTTCTTTTCAATAGTACGACTAAAAAGCATATCAAAGACATGGAACACATAATTACAGGACAACCCCACTGCCAGATCTCAGGCTATCTGAGAAAATTGCAAATAAAATAAAATTTGACAGCACTGTTAATATTTTTATCTTTCTGTATCATTAGGATCTTCCATTGTTTGGGCACCGGGAGTACAAAGCCCTTTCACATCAGGCCTTTGTGCTTCAGTGTCCTCTGTGGCAAGCACCACTCTGGCTGCCGTCTCCTGCGAGGACGGCCCCTTTCCGCGATGCTCGAGAGTGCATTGGTCACCCCACAGACGACAGCTTTGGGCTCCTGGGGTCCAGGCACTGGCTGCCGTGGGATTTGTGGTAATTGTCCCTTGTTTGTTTCAGGTGTGATCCCCTGGGCCCATTTGCTGTCGGGGGAGAAGACCTGGACCCCTTTGGGTGAGTACTGCTGGCGAGGCGGTGGCGACATAACTTGCTCTCGTGGCTTCTTGGTCTCAGCTCATCTTCTAATTTGGGAACGCTTCGTCATCCTTCCTTGGGGGTGAAGGAGGCGGCTGCTGAGCGGCTGAGAAATCCTATCCACTTGTTCTGCTCTGCACGCCCAGAGCAGCGTAGGAGTGTGGGGGCTCTGAGCCTGCCCACTGGGTGCTGCTCTGTCGTTTCCTGACCCCACTTGCTCTGAGGGAGGGCAGTAGCCCTCTTTGGTTGGAAGGAGACCCCAAGGGGGTTTGCTCAGGTGCATACCGTGGAGCACAGGGTGGGCTGCAGACCTCAGGGATGCTGGCGACATTCCGAGGCTACCTCGCCTGGCAGGCAGTTCCTGATTTCCTTTAGACTCTGCTTCCTGTCGTGTACCCGCCAAAGTCAGTGCAGCTTTGGGTACGCGGTCTCCCCTAAATGTTTTAGATTAGATTTAAACTCCGCTGCAAGGTGATGCCCAAGTTGAACATCTCATTTTAGACAGAAAAGTCAGCGACATCTGCAGTTAGATGTGAGCAGTGACCGCAGTGCTTGGGGACTGTCAGCTAACTCCCTTGGTTTGAGCCATGGGGTCTGGTCCTTGCAACTCTGTGAGGGACAGATACTGCTGGAAACTGGCTTGGGCAACCCGCTGGCAGTCATAGATTGCCCTGGAAACCTGTAAGGGGACTGCTAAAAATCTCACCTCCTAGACCCAAAGTCATGCCTTACAGACCTCTGGGATGCTTCTGCATTGACATTGGCAGTTTAGGGCATCTGTTCCTGATGAGTGTTTTCCCCCGTCTTGGGTGTAGGACATGGCAGAGCTCTCAATTTGTGGACTTGGGGAGGCCTCTAGAGAGGAAAGTCAGGCCGCAGGTGCCAGGAAAGGAGTGTTCTCTGTGTTCTTGCTGCTGCCCACCCCCACTGGCGCTCAGGCAGCTATCTGTGCACACCTGTGTAACCAGCAGAGACATCACCGACGACCCTGTCATCCCGTCCCCTTGTCGCCTCCTTCGGCCTTTCTTGCCACACCTGCTTACCGTGCTTCCTTCTTACCTCAGCTATCGGAGAGGTGGCATGATTGTGGATCCCCTGAGATCTGGCTTCCCGAGAGCACTTATTGACCCCTCCTCGGGCCTCCCAAACCGGCTTCCTCCAGGTGCTGTGCCCCCAGGAGCACGCTTCGACCCCTTTGGACCCATTGGAACCAGCCCATCTGGGTAGGTACACACTCGGCTGTGCGGGGTCAGCGGGCCTCACAGCAGCTCAGCTCTACACGGCGGAAACAAGGCATCTGACTGCAGACACAGTTGTCACTAGTTCCACGCCCTGCCGCCGGAGCGTGGAGCCTCCCACAAGCTCCCTGCCCTGAGTGCCTCCCTCCCCCTACTCCCTCAGGACTCAAGAGGTGGCACTACTCACACTTAGGGAGTTTAGTATGTTTCAGGAATTCACTGACTCTCCACATTTTATAGCTGCAGAGACCGAGGTCCTGTGAGGCTAAGTACTTACCCGGGGTAGGAGAATCAGGAGTCAAACCTGGCTGCCTGGCTCTTGGACACCTGCCCTTAACCCCCACGAGTCCCTGCAGCTGAAGGACAGGCTTCCTCGGCTCAGTGCCCTGCATGCCTGCCGCCCTCCATTCTCCGACTCACCTGCCCTCTTTCCCTTCCAGCCCTAACCCAGACCACCTCCCCCCGCCGGGCTACGATGACATGTACCTCTGAAGGCCTCAAGAATGTAACATCCCGGCCTTCCCTCCACTCTCCGGGAGCTGCCACTGCTGACCCTCTCAGCCACTGTGTTCTTGCGGTCTGGGGGCAAGGGACTCTGCCCATGTATCTGCAGACGGGCTGGGGTTGGCCCCCCGCCCCCACCTGAGCCACGGCACCTGCTGCAGCCCTCCACCTGGCTGTGTATATGTCTCAGAGAGAAATCAGTGTGTCTCTTGCACTACCAGCTCCTCCCCGCTTCCCAAGGAGACTCCGGCAACATATACCCTCAACCCGAAGCAGCCCCGTTTGCAGCGCTGTAAGAACAGAACGCATTTTGGATGTTATTATTAAGAGCCAAATGTCAATACAGAAATCATGTTGCCGTCTCCCACTTTTCTTTACTGCACAGCTCCTTCAGTTTGAAGGCTTTTGATTGGAATCTTTGTGGGGCTAAATGACTTTTTCTACCCTGGGCCTGTTCTTGCTTTTCGGGCACCCTTCAAAAATTACTTCATAAATTGCTGTTGCTTTTGACATCACTAAGAGGGGTCCCATTCTGGATGAAAACAAGTAACTGAAAACCGCATAGTTTCACAAAGATGTCTTTCACAAGGGCAGGCACATTGCAGAGACTGCACCACCTGAGAAGGGGAGATCCTGCAGGTCTGTCTGAGCCAGTCCTCGGGCCCGTCTCTGTCTGGGCACCGGCAGAGGGCACGGGGAACAGAGCAGACATGAAAGCTAATCACTTGTTTTGCTGCCAGCTTTCTGAATGACCCTAAGCAAGTCCTTTTCCTTCCCAGGACCTTTGTTGCCCAGCCATGAAATTAAAGTGCTTTCCCTGCTCCAAAACATGCATTTAAGTGTCTGCTCTGCCTGTGGCAACATCTAGGAACTCTGGGGCAGAAGGAAAGAGTGCGAGGCTTTGTGTGATACTTGCCTTCAGTTTGTAACTCTGCTTATCCTCCTTGGGGTCCGGAAGAGCACGGGATCGTGGGCTCCATTTGAGTCATTGGACTTTGGGAGGAGCAGGAAACCGAGCCTCTGCAAGCCAGTGACTGGGGTGGATGGAGGAGCTAGTGAAGCGAGAAACCGCCCAGGAAGGAATTTCACCCCTGGAGCTGCCCCAGCCTCTGGAAGCCATGTCTCCGTCCAGGCCCACCTGGCCTTTGGTGTTCTCCGGATCCTTTTGAGCCCGAGGCCTGACAGACGTGGTCAGTGATGAACTCCTGTGCTGGAGCGGAAAGAGCATCCTAGCGCTCCAGGCTCAGAGGCAAGACACTAGTCATTTCTGATGCACAACTACCATTTCAGCCAGACCCTTTACTTCCAAACTCCCCAGGTTCTCTGCCCTAAATTAGACATTCTTCTATAGCCGGAGGCTTCCAGAAGGTGTTGGCCAATAGGCTGGAGTCTGGGTTGCCTGTCCAAGTCCGAGATGGAGATGGGCTTGCTTGGGGAGCCGCATGAGCCGGCTCGCAGGATGAGCCGGCTCGCTGGGCATTTTTAGCAGACCCAGTCTCACCATTGACTTCAGTAGGATGTTACAGACTGAAGCCTTTTGAGCTGCTCTGCTCTGGAGAAAGACCCAGAGGACAGAGACAGCTACAAGTCTCCAATCATAGTCTTTCTCCAAGGCTGGCAAATGGGTGGAATGGTTTTGTTTTGAAATTGGGTCATAACTCCTACTCAAAGAACGTGGGGCAACTTGCTCATAAAAGCATCATTTATTATAAAATCACTAAAACGAACGTTATAACAGAAAACATCAGATAAGCAGGGAAGGTGTAGGACCTTGATTCAAGAAGACAAGATTGAAACAGTAAATTTGCTACTTGAATTTTCTAGTAGCAGAGTCAAAAGGATGGTCATATACATAATTCTGTTTCTGAAAACAGAACCTTTAGTGATTCATCTGCAGAATCAGCCATTTTGTGTGGGGGGAGTCTCCTTGTATCAAGGACACTGAGGAATACAATGCCTTAGTTTTTACATGAGGGAAGTTAGTGGGCTGTTACGAACGTCAGGCCAAGCTTTCAGTACCGTTGTCTGGGCAACTTCCCTGCCCTTAGTTGTGAGTAGTCACCAGGCAGGAAACAGCTGGCTCAGGTGTGTGTTCTTGGAACCTAAAAGGTCGGAGCCTTAACAATAAACCTCAGCATTAATAATCTGTTCTTATTTTTTTTCTTTCCTAACAGCATTATTGATATAATTCAGGTACCTGTAACGCTCACCCTTTTTAAAGTGTGCGATTCAGTGGTTTTAATATATTCAGTGTTGTGTATCTATCACCATATCTAATTCCTAAACATTTTCACCATCCCAAAAAGAACAGTCACTCCCCATTCCCTTCCTGCCCAGTCCCAGACAACCATTAACTATTTCTCTCTAAGGATTTGCCTATTCTGGATGATTCTCATAAGTAGAATCATAAAATATGTGACCTGTGTGTCTGGTTTCTTTCACTTTATGTTTTCAAGGTTCATCCATGTTATAACATACATCAGTATTCCATCCTGAGGACATGTTTTCTCCGTTCATCAGTTGCTAGACATGGGTGGTTTCCATGTCTGAGCTAGTCATCAGTAACACTGCTGTGAACATACGTTTTCAGTTCTTGTGGGCATTATTTAGGAATGGAATTGCTGGGTCACATAGTAACTCTTGACATTTTGAAGAATTACCAGACTTTAGTAAAATGTCTGCACCGTTTTACATTCCCACCAGAAGGGATAGAAGATTCCAGTTTCTCTACATCCTCACCAATCCTGTTACTCTTGTTGTGGATAGCCATCCTACTGAGTGTGAAGTGGCTTCTTTCTGTGCTTTGTCCTCTACTTGGAAGAAAAAAAAAAAAGGAATTTTACTTAGGCCAAGCAAGTCAAAGGTCAAAGCCAGTTATCCCTTGGGAGTGGACATGGCTTTGGTAGTACCCACCTTTGGATGACTGTGGCTGGGAATCACAGAGAAGTTGGGTTTGACTTTGAGGGAAAATTCTGGGTCACATAGACCTGACTGTAAGGACATTCCCATGACCTTTCCAGATCTAGTGAGGTTCACGACTTAACTACTGGGTTTGAAATGTTCCTGTCATCCAGTGATTTCTGAGTTTAAAAAAAAAAAAAGGTCTTAAATCCTTGCTTTTTGGTGAGTTCCATAGATCACTTTTACACTCTGGCTCCACTTTTCTTTGTCTCCGCAGTTTGAAAGCTGACTGTGTTGCTTGCTGCATTCACCTACTCGGTCATGACCTTCGGTCAACTTCCATGGTGAAATCATGTGTCTCAGGAGACCTGACTCCATGAGTGTTCACAGTGGAAACTTTTGTGTTCTTGTGCTAGATGTTCGGTAGTTAGGAAATAGGTAGCAAGTTTCAGAGCCCTCACTTCAGAGCCCAGGCTCCCTCATGGCCCCCTTTCTGTCGTGACATTGTTACACATGCCCTTCTTTGCAAATGGAAAATTAGTATCCGTAGAACAGTTGAGATTCTCTCACCTGATCTTGTCTATTGGTGCAGTTCCAGCAGGACAGGCCCCACCACCACCAACACCCTCTGCGTGCATATCCTCAGCGTCTGTCATGAAACTTGCCTGCTTATGGGCCGCTACCACAGGTGTCCACGTCCCCAGCCTTGTTTGTCTCTGGGCTACCACCGGCCATACACCAAAAATCACTTCAGCTTTGGTCGGCCCTAGATCTGACCCAGGGGGAAGGGACAAAAGGCAGGAGTGGCAGCTGTGAGGGTGGTGGGCAGTGAGGGGTAGCAAGACCCATGTGACAGAGGACAGACCCCAGAGGGCAAACAATGCATGAGGTCTGGACACCGACTAGGACAGGACAAAGTGGGAGGTACAAAGTGGGAGTGCTCAGGGTCTGTGCAGAGTATCAGAGGTGGGAGGACTACAGGAAAAGCCACCCCACCTGAGCCATGTCGGTGAGTGCTGTGAAAGTGACATTGTAATGGGCTCGGGGAGGGTGCTGAAGTGCTAGTCCTGCGGTCCGGCCACCTTAGAGTCTATACAGAGACCAGCGCAGTCACATCATCGTTGCCATGTCTAAAAATCACGGAACTCCAGAGGCACATTGCCTACACCTGCACCAGAGGGAGCCCCTCCGGTCCCCACTTGGTTCAGTTCCAAGGTCAAAGCTCAACTGAGTGCATCTTCAGGGAACTTACATCACTTCTCAAACCATAGCTACAAAGGAGTCTGAGGAAATGTCTTTGTTCCTTTTCCCCGCTTCCCCATTAGGAAGGTGTATTGGGACAGTGATGCCGGGAGCCAATCTCCCGTGTCTGACCACAGGCTTCCCCGCCTTCCTGTGCTTGTCTGTTCCGTGAGCTGCACATACACAGTACACCCTGTGTCGTGACTGGACTGGGATACCAGCCTCCAGGGAAGGGCCTTTAAGTTGTGTTTTATAAGTTACTCAGGTAAATAGTATTATCGGGCAAATCTGAGAAGGGAAGAATAATACACCTTCCTACCGAAACCAGCTGCACCTGAGAACTTGTCAGAAGCGCAGAATCTCAGATCTTACTCTAGAACCTGGGAAATTCATGTGCATGTTAAGGTTTGTTGCCATGGGGTACAAATCATCTTTTTCCTTCACCTGGATATCAGATGCAAAGAACTGCATCAGTCTTCTTAGGCCATGGCTCAATATGACTAAGGTGTGTAAAAGCCTCCTCATTTTCTACTTTTTTAAAAATATTTATTATGCATACAGAACTGGGGTGCAGGCCAGAGATGCAGGGGCAGTGAGAGGATTCACCAGAGACAGAGTGGGGAGCAGAACAGACAGATTGATGAACTACAGTGCTGAGGGGAGCAGTGGGCGGGTCAGGAGAGGTCTGCTGTGCCATGTGGTCACCTATGGAGCCAGGGATGGAACTCACACCAAAGCGGCTGCAGCCAGCTTGCAGTGCTACATTCTAACCGGTTGCGCCACCAGGAAGAGCCCACTTTTTCCACCTTTACCCCCTGTATCCTCCCCATTCCCTCACTCTGATGGTTTACTCATGTGTCATATGAGCCCTTAAATACATATGTACCCTTGTAAGAAATGGCATGTTACATCCTCATAAAGCAGTAGCCAGAGGTTCTGGGAAGGCCTAGCATTTTGCTCAAGGACTGGCATGACACCCCCTTTGCTGGTGTCCAGCCTAATCAGCAAAGTGAGCACCACTGCTGTCTTCAGGAATGCCTCAGGGTCAAATAAATACCGTGTTATGTAAATGGGTAGTTGGAGCGTGGGTGCCAACTATTATTATTGGGTAGATATCACTGGGGCTCACGGACAAGAAGACAAGAACTTTGTGCAGCCCTCAATGCAAGAAACAAGCATTTATCTGGTGCCCCAGTATGCTTTCTTCTAGCCCCATGCAACTGTGAAGTAGACATAAGCATCAGTTGGGGTGCTGGGCTTGCTCCTCCAGAAATGATGGAAATCTGGATCAGTCTGGTTTGAAAGCCAGCGTCTTTTTACAGAATGGTCATACCCAGTCCCCACACCCTCTTGGGTGAGGAGTGTGGGTCCTTGTGTAAATTTCCTGGAAAATCAACATGAAACTGGAAATCAAGTTAGGACTTAGGTGTTAAAGGAACATACCCCCCCAGAGTGGTCTAAGACTAAATTAAATGCAAACCATATTTCATGTTCCCAGCATTTCCACTACAGACGCAGTGTCCAGCATCCAGCATCCGAATCCACCCAACACAACCCCCAACCACAGGCCCAAGGTGGAGTCTCTGAGTGAGCCGCTGAGTGTGCCCACCTCTCTCTTCTGAGTGGAATGACTTTCTAGAGGCCACAGAAATTCTAACTCTGGGGCTTTCCCACTAAAATTGTCA